CGGCGGCGGCGGTGGTGCGCCAGGGGGAGGGGGCCTTGGAGGAGGTGCAGGACAGACAGGCCCACCCCCAGGTGGTGGCCCGACCGGTGGGGGCGTTGTCCCCCAGCAGCAGCAGCCACAGCAGCACCAGCCACAGCAGGGACAGCAGCAGCAGCAGGCACCGCAGCAGTTCCAGCAGTGGGGGCCCCGCTGCAGTGGGGTCCGCAGCAGCACTGGGGTCCTCCGCCGCAGTGGGGTCCGGGAGGCCCTGGGAGCACCGGCCGCACCAGCAGCACTTCCAGCTGGGCCCCTCGCCCCCCTCGCCGTGACGCTGGCCCCTGCACCCACAGGTGCCTCACCGGGCCGGGCAGCCCCTGTCTCTGTGGTCGCGACGACCACTCTACCGCGCGGTGCTTCCGCCGCCTCGACGACCTCTACCGGGCTCGTTGGGGCCCTCTGGCGGTCACGCCTCGCTGGTCTCGCCTGTTAGCCCGTAAGATTGATGTCTTTGATCTGTCCATGGACGATGCGCGTCAGCATGCTTTGTATGTTGATGCTGACTTTAGTGCTGATGGGTCTGTGTGCTCGCGTGTTCGTAGGTTAGCCTGCTTGCCTCCTGCTAGTGTAGCCTTGTGCCTGTCTAGCTTAGGTGCTTGTGTTGCTGCTCTAGGTGCTTGTGTAGCGACTGGGTCAGGTGACCCTCCGGCTGAGGCCTCTCTGTCGTTCACGCTGGACTCGGGCGCGTCTCAGTGCTTCTTCCGCGACCACACGACCCTTACGCCACTCCTCACCCCTGTGTCGGTGGCTCTGGCTGATCCTACCTCTGGACCAGCCGTTGCGCGTAGCTCCACCACCCTCCCGTGCCCTGTGGTCCCCTCTGGTGTCCTGCGCGGCCTCCACATCCCCTCGTTCACTCGGAACTTGGTGGGTGTTGGATACCTCCAGGACAAGGGGATCACGGTTACCTTCGTGGGGGGTGGGCGGACTGCAGTCTGTACTGACGCTACCACAGGTGCTGTTCTGGCCACTTTCACCAGGGAGCCCCGCTCCGGTCTCTACGTTCTCCACACCGAGCGCTCCCCGGTCGCGTCCTCCCCTCAGGTCACTGCGTCCCCTCCGGCCCAGGTCCCCAGTCCAGTTGCTGTGTCTAGCCAGGTAGTCGTGTCCAGTCCGGTCGCTGTGTCCAGTCCAGTCGCTGCGTCTTGCTCCTGTCGCTCTCTTGCCCACCGCACCGTCCTGTGGCACCACCGCCTTGGCCACCCGTCGATCCCTCGCCTTCGTGGCATGCTCAGTCAGGGACTTGTCACAGGTCTCCCACGCACCTTCCCGTCACTCCCTCTCTCGCTTGCCCCTCCTTGCTCTCCGTGCGTCGCCGGTCGCTTACGCGCCACTCCCCACTCCTCCTCCCTTCGTCCGGCCACCGCTCCCTTCGAGACTCTCCACTTGGACGTCTGGGGCCCTGCCCCAACGCAGGGGTCTGGGAGAGAGCGTTACTTTCTGGTGGTCGTCGACGACTACTCCAGGTACACCACCGTGTTCCCTCTTGCGAAGAAGTCCGAGGTGACTGCTACGCTGATCAGGTGGCTTCTAGCCACTGAGGGCACTCGTGGTCGTCGAGTCAGTTGTCTTCACTCCGACCGTAGGGGCGAGTTTCGCTCCGGCATTCTCGGCGGATTCTGCGGCGAACAGGGCATCACCCAGTCCTGGACGCTGCCAGAGTCCCCACAGCAGAATGGGGTTGCTGAGCGCCGCATAGGCTTGGTCATGGACATCGCCCCCTGTTACTGACCTCCACACTGCCCTCCTTTGTTCGTCCCGTCGTCGTTCTCCTTCTCCTGTGTCCGTTCTCCCGTCTCCTCCTCCGTCCTCTCTCCCAGCCCTCCCCACTCCTATAACTGACTACTACCGCACTGTTCATCCTGTTGCCGCACGTGTCCTCGCCACTCTTGTCACTGACTCTCGTTTCCCTCCGTCGTCTGCCTCGGCTCTTACTGCCGCTGTCGCTGAGTTTGCTGCTGCCAGCCGCCTTGACTACGCCACCCGGGTGGTGCCAGCTCCTCCCTACCGTCCTCTGTCCGTCGGGGGTGGGTTTGCCCTTGGCTGTGACGTCCTAGAGGACAGAGAGTCTGAGCTGGAGTACTGGGCAGCCGCTTCTCCCTCTGTGTGTGCCATGCTGCTCTCCCCTGAGGGAGACCCCGACGCCCTTGACATACCGACTCCTCGCACTTACCGCGAGGCAGTGTCAGGGGCGTGGGCCTCTCAGTGGAAAGCGGCTATGGACTCAGAGTTGGCGTCTTGGAGATCCACAGGCACCTACGTCGACGCAGTTCCCCCTCCCAGGGCGAACGTAGTCGATGGCATGTGGCTCTTCAAGGTGAAGCGGCCGCCTGGAGCACCGCCGGTGTTCAAGGCGCGCTACGTGGCTAGGGGCTTCAGTCAGCGTGAGGGAGTTGACTTCTTCCAGACCTTCGCCCCGACCTCGAAGATGACTACTCTTCGGGTGTTACTCCACATAGCAGCGCAGCGAGACTACGAGCTGCACTCCCTCGACTTCTCCACTGCGTTCCTCCAGGGCCGACTGCACGAGGAGATCTGGCTGCGCCGTCCTCCTGGCTTCACTGACACCTTCCCACCTGGGACCCAGTGGAGCCTGAGGCGACCAGTCTACGGTCTCCGCCAGTCGCCCCGTGAGTGGCACGACACTCTTCGCTCCACGCTTCGTGACCTTGGGTTCAGCCCGTCCTCCGCCGACCCGTCGCTGTTTGTTCGAGCGGGTTCTACTCCCTTCTTTATCCTTGTCTACGTCGACGACTTGGTGTTTGCTACAGCTGACAGGGCAGCCCTGGCTCAGGTGAAGTCCGAACTGCAGAAGAGACACAAGTGCACTGACCTGGGTGAGCTGCAGCGCTACCTTGGCCTGCAGATCACCCGGGACAGAGCCGCTCGCACCATCACACTGACGCAGTCACACATGGTGCAGCAGGTCCTTCGGCGGTTCGACTTCCAGTTCTCCACCACACAGCCCACTCCTCTTGCTGTTGACCACAGACTCACGGGCCCCTTTCCTGACGAGCCCTTCGAGTCCAGTGGACCCTACGCAGAGCTGGTGGGCTGCCTCATGTACCTGATGACTTGTACTCGACCGGACCTCGCCTTTCCCCTCAGCATCCTTTCTCGCTTTGTTGCGACTGGGAGACACCGCCCTGTCCACTGGACAGATGCTGTGAGGGTGGCGAAGTACTTGGCGACTACATCAGGCATGGGGCTTGTGCTTGGAGGGACTCAGTCAGTGGCGTTGACTGGTCACTGCGACTCTTCCTACGCTGACGACGTGGAGACTCAGCGCTCGACTCAGGGTTACTGCTTCAGTCTGGGAGCTGGTGCTGTGTCGTGGAGGTCTACACGGTCGTCGTCTGTGGCTACTTCCAGTGTAGAGGCAGAGATCTACGCTGGTGCCATGGCGGCACAGGAGCTTCGCTGGTTGACCTTCTTGCTCGCCGACCTTGGTGAGCGGCCTCGCTCTGCACCGACCTTGTACGCGGACAACAAGGCCATGATCCTCCTGTGTCGAGAGCCTCGACTGGAGAGCAGAGTGAAGCATATTGACGTGAGGTACTTCCTTCTGCGAGAGCTGCAGCGACGCGGCCAAGCACGCCTGGACTTTGTGGCCTCAGAGGCCAACACTGCAGACGTCTTCACCAAGGCCTTGGCGCTTGGTGATCACCACAGGTTCTGTGTGCAGTTGGGGCTTGTTGAGGTAGGCCCTCGGTTGCTGTAGTCTTGTTGTTTGCTCTACTTGTTGTGCTTCCTATTTATATCCTAGTGAACTCTTGAACTGGCCTTGTGGCCACTTGCTTGCGCTCGGAATTTGTGTGGTGTCCTTGAGATCCACCCTGAGCTTGCCTTGTTTCTTGCTTTGACTGGTCTTGTGACCGTTTGTTCACCTTGCTTGCTTTGATGCCCCTCACTTAGCCTATGGGGGTGTGTCAAATGTAATTCTATGCTTGTAGGCTACAGTGAGTAGCACAATAGGGAGTACAGTTGTTAGGGTTGCATATTTGTACTTCCACACTTCCTAGTTTCATCCATTCCGTTGCATTCCTATTCTGAGAATTCTGACTCGCTCGACGTTTCGTCACTTGTTGGTGATTATTTGGCGCGCCGACGTGTTTCGGATATTGACCGCCTTTCTTAAGGGGGGGGGGGGGGGTAGTGTAAGGAATTTTCCCGAATTCCTTATCGGGGTTGACTGCTACGCGTACAGCCCGATTTTCGGACTTTGCACGTTCGGCCGATTTCAACGCTGCCGAGGCTCCTCGCGTCGCCTTCGGCAATTCCCATCGCCAAACCTGCACCCCAACCTCGCTCGTCCGAGGTTTCCTCCTAGCTAGGCCAGCTCCTACATTAGTGTGTTCCTTCATTGTATTCTCAGATCAGTTAATCACAGTCTCGTTATTCGTTTACCTGCGCACTCTCTTTACAACTCATAACAAATTTCGCCTTCCCTAAAGTTGGCTTCTTGTTACACAATGTGTCACTTGGTAGACATTTTCTGTCTGCGGCGAACAACGTGGTTGGGTGTAGTGTAGGGCCAATGAGCCTAGGCTTTGAATAATCGTGAAGCATTGTCAGTGCTTTCCGGTGCATTCACCGACCTACGGTATCCTACCTCAAAGATTCCCTCGTATTCGTGTGTGGTGTATACCTTGTCGACATGCAGCTCCGAAATGCGGCGAGGAATCCTTCCTCACCAAGACGACAAAAGAGCAGTACGGTTCAACAGCAGAAGGGAAGAGCAAACACCACCACTCCACACAGCAACTCACAACAACGCGCCACCGTCACCAGCGCGCAACTATTTTGATAAGCGTTGCCTTGTGCTGAAATGGCGAGCATTTCTTCGAGCATTGCGCGGGGCAGTCTATCTAGAGTGTTCACGCCCGTGACCCGGCGCACTCATTGCGTTAGTTCGGTCAAGTGTGCGTTATCCACTCTCCGGATCAGCACCGGCGGTTTCTACCATGGGAGAAGGGCCAGCTCCTACCGATCCACTTCACAAGGCTTTACAAGGTCTCGTCAACTCTTCCTAGACCAACATTTACGAACCACGTCGTTTCACCTTCCCGTAGTAGTACCCAATTTGAGCAGATGCTGATGATGTGTCAGTCTCAAATGTTTGTCATTGTGATTTCTTCTGCGTGGGTCAGAAAGTGGCGCCGTGGATTGGAAAAGCAGCGATTATGCTACCAGGAATGACCAATCCGACAGCGTCAAGAAGGATGATCCGAAGGGCGGCGGGAGCGAGAAGAAGCCTCCTCCTCCTCGTGCCTCCGTCGCTTATTACAAGCTGTTCGCCTACGCCGACACCTTGGACTACCTGCTCATTGCGTTGGGGTCAATCGGAGCGTGCACGCATGGCGCCACGCTGCCAATCTTCTTCCTCTTCTTCGGAGAGCTCATTGACTCCATGGGAGCCAGTGACATCGGAGGCGTCAGCAAAGTAAGCTGTACTGCATTGGTCGTTACCTCGCTCCCCGTCTTCGTCCCTGGCCGCCTGTGCTGTGTCGTGTGTGTCCCGTCGCCTGTTGCTTACACCAATTCGCGCTTGTTTGCTTCATTTTCCCCCCAAATTTCCCCTTGCCCTACCACAGTACGCCGCGTATCTGGTTTATCTGGGGCTAATCGTGTGGCTGGGATGCTGGCTTGGTACGTCGCCTTGCTTCCACAAGTTCCCCCCGCTCGGCGCTGTTTTCCTCATCGCCTCAATGCTCACTTAATCTCTTCTGTCAACTCACTCTGAGCGCCTTACGCGAGAACCTTCCCTCTTCTCGAACCTCAACATCCCTCATTCCTTTCCCCATCTAAATCAAGTCATCCGTCCGCCCCCTCTCCCTCGTCTCCCGTGTCTCTCTCGCCGCGCAGAGGTGTCGTGCTGGATGCACACGGGCGAGCGTCAGGCGGCGCGCATTCGCGAGCGGTACCTGGCGGCGATTGTGAAGCAGGAGATCGGATTCTTCGACACGCACTCCAGCTCCGGTCAGATCGTCAGCAACGTCTCCAGCAACGTGCTGCTCGTCCAGGACGCCATTTCCGAGAAGGTGCGGTGCGCAGCGAGCGAACGAGAGAGGGTGTACTATATACAGGGTGGACGGAACGGAGTGGCGGGGGTTTGGGAAGGGGTCGGAGGGGAGAATGGGTAGGTTTGATAAAGCAGTTACAGGACAAGGATACCACTAGTACAGACAGGATGATGGAAGCAACCACGATGTGACTTCTGAATTGGAAAACAAGCGACAAAGGGTACTCCTGGTTGAGCCTACCCTTGCCGGTCGCTGAAATTAGCAAATTGATAGAAAAGAGCAAACGCGAATCCACTTTCACACGCTCACACCCCACCCCCTCTCCTCCTCCCCCCACTTCCCTGTCCCATCACTGCCCTCCCCCTCCCCTCTCCCCTCTCCTCACCCCCCAATCCCCATTCCCCCCTCCTCCCACCCCCACTTTCCCCTCCTTCCCCTTCCCCGCTCCCCCTCCTCTCCCTCCCTCCACCAACCCCCCTTTTTGCATGTCTCCGTGCCTTCCCCACAAGGTGGGCAACTTTATGGATTTCATTACAACGCTCCGTGGGACATTCCTCATTGGTTCACTACCCTCTCACAGCTTTTGAGGCTCCTCCAAGCCCTCCACAACATCCCCCCCCTCTCCTCCCCCCTCATCTCCCCCCCCTCCCCTCCTCCCTCCCCCCCTCCCCTCCCCCCCCCCTTTCCTCCCTCCCCTCCCCTGTCTCATGGTTCCCACCATCCAGGTGGGCAACTTCCTGCATTTCATGGCAACATTCGTGGCGGCGTTCATAATCGGCTTCACCACCCTGTGGCAGCTCACGCTCGTCATCCTCGCCATCGTCCCCCTCATGGCGGGCTGCGGCGCCGTCTACGCCATCGCCATCACGGGTCTCACCTCTAAGGGCCAGCACGCGTACGCCCAGGCAGGTGCAGTGGCGGAGCAGGCGGTGGGGCAGGTGCGCACGGTGTACTCGTTTGTAGCAGAGGAGAGGACGCTGAAGCAGTACAGGGACGCGCTGGAAACGACGGTGCAGCTGGGGTTCCAGGGGGGGTTGTTCAAGGGCATGGGCCTGGGCGGGATGTGCTTGGTGATGTTCTGCGCGTGGGCGCTGCAGTTCTGGTTCGCCGCCAAGCTCGTGGCGGATGGCAAGGCCACGGGCGGCCAGGCGCTCACCACCATGTTCTCTGCGCTCATCGGCGGCATGTGAGTGCCCCGCAGCAACCGGGCCTGTGCTATGTAGAGTAGAGGGAGTATCCTTTCTGGTCCTCCTGTCCTGGGGCATGCATGAGCTCTGCTCGTCAATCTGGAGTACTCGATGTAGACATGCCTCATGCTGTCATCACTGCCTTCTCCACCCTCGCTCTTTGCTCGCCTCCCACCACCCACATCCCCCTCTCTCCCCGCGCCACACTTCCTCTGACCATCTCCCCGCCCTCCCTTTCCCACCTGAACTGCCTCCCCTCACCCGCCTGTCTCTCAGGTCTCTGGGTCAGGCGATGCCAAACCTGACGGCATTTGCCAAGGGGCAGGCAGCTGCGCACAGCATCTTGCAGGCCATGCAGCGCAAGCCAGCCATGCATGTGGACGACACCTCTGGCAAGATCCCCGCAGCCGTCAAGGGCCACTTGGAGCTCCGCAGCGTGTGCTTCTCATATCCCTCGCGCCCGCACGTCGCGGTTTTCGAGGACTTGTCGCTCGCGATTGCGGCCGGCACGACGGTGGGCATCGTGGGGGCGTCGGGCAGCGGGAAGAGCACGGTGGTGGCGCTTGTGGAAAGATTCTATGACCCGCTTGCAGGTGCGGTGTATCTGGACGGGCGCGATATTCGCTCCCTGCAGTTGAAGTGGCTGAGGGACCAGATTGGGCTTGTGAGTCAGGAGCCGGCGCTGTTTGCGACGAGCATCAAGGAGAACATTATGTATGGGAAGGATGGGTCGACGATGGAGGAGGTGCAGGCGGCAGCCAAGGTGGCTAACGCACATGACTTCATCTCCGGCCTGCCCGAGGGGTATGACACGCAGGTCGGGGAGCGAGGCGTGCAGATGTCCGGCGGCCAGAAGCAACGAATCGCGATAGCGCGCGCCATTCTGCGCAACCCCGCGATCCTCCTGCTGGACGAAGCCACGTCAGCTCTGGACGCGGAATCAGAGAAGGTGGTGCAGACAGCTCTGGATGGCGCCATGAAGGGCCGCACCACCGTTGTGATTGCCCACAGGCTGTCGACGATCCGCGGGGCGGACTCGATCGCAGTGGTGGGCAAGGGGCGGGTGGTGGAGCAGGGCACGCATGACACGCTGATGGCGATGCAGGGCGAGTACGCGGCGCTGGTGAAGCTGCAGCTCCAGGCGGTGCAGGCCGTGGTCAAGCCGGAGGAGGTGCATGGCGGCGCGCAGTCCTTGTCGTGGTATGTTGGGCGTGGGAAGGGGTTCAGGGTTGGGTGGGGCGGGGTTCTGCAGGTGAAGCTGCAACTCCAGAAGGTGGAGGCCCAGAGGACGCCATGGATGGCGGCGCGGGGCTGTTATTCCTGGTGTGCTGGGTGCGGAACGGGGAGGGGGGGGGCTGGGAGCGGAAGGGTGCCACTGCTGACGGTGCATGCCAGGGGTGCAGAGTTTGTTGTGAGTGCTCCCCCTTCTTCCGCTTCCCTTCTTCCCCTTCCATCTCCACCTTTTCCCCCATCAACAGCCATCAAAGCAGTGAGTTACAGCAGTCAACCGTGTCGGACGGAGGCAAGTCTGCAGTGGACTCTATCGGGGTCAAGGACGAGAGTGGCGAGGCCAAGAGCAACGGGTCGTGGTGGCGCCTCTTCAACCTCACCCTCCCCGACTGGCCCTACACTGCCCTCGCTGTAGTGGGCGCGGCTCTTGCTGGCGCCCTCAACGCCTTCTTTGGCCTCTTCCTCACCATCGTGAGTCCTCTGGGGCACTGTTCACCCCACCTACCTTCGCCTCCCTTCTCTTTCTCGCGTTGCACCTTGTTCATTCAGCCTTGATTGTGCGGATTTCACTTGCAGCTGGCCGAATGGCCGTAACTCATCACCGCAAGGCACCACCCCCCCCCCCCCCCAATTTCCCCCTCTACACTTCCCCTCCCTCCTGCCGCCTCCCTCCTCGAACGGTCCTTTGTATGAATAATCAGCATGTGTCCTCCCTCCCTTCGCCCCATCAGATGGTCACGGCCTACTACAAGCCAGTGGACCAGATGCTGTCACAAGTGAACACATGGGCCGTCATCTTTCTGTGTCTGGGCGTCATCACCTTCCTCGTGTACACCCTCCAGCACTACAACTTCGGTGTGGTCAGCGAGAAGCTCACCAAGCGCGTGCGCGAGCTCATGCTCGCCTCCATCCTGCGCAACGAGGTCGCGTGGTTCGACCACGGCAGCAACAGCAGCGGCGCCATTGCCGCGCGCCTCGCCTCCGACGCCACCCTTGTCCAGGGCGCCATCGGGGGCCGCATCTCAGTCATCGCTCAGAACGTGTCCCTCATCACCGTGGCGTTTGTCATCTCGTTTGTGCTCAACTGGCGCATGGCGCTCGTCGTCATGGCCACCTTCCCGCTCGTTATAGTCTCCGCAGCAGCGCAGCAGGCGTTCATCAAGGGCTTTGCGGGGGACCTCAAAGTGGCCCACGAGAAGGCCAGCAACGTGGCAGTGGAAGCTGTTGGGAACATCCGAACTGTGGCTGCTCTTTCCCTGGAGGACAAAGTGCTGACGCTGTTCCGCAAACAGCTCGAGCCTCCTCTGAAGCGGTCTCTGCAGCGCGGGCAGATCGCAGGGCTTGCTTTCGGCGGGTCGCAGTTTTGCATGTATGTGTCGTTTGCCATGGGGCTGTGGTATGGGGGGCAGCTGGTGGAACAGCAGGATGGGACGTTTGAGAACGTGTTTAAGGTGTTCATGGTGCTGACGTGGTCAAGCTTTGCCATTGCGGAGACGCTCACTCTTGCCCCGGACCTTGCCAAGGGCGGGTATGCCATCAAGTCATTCTTCGCAGTGCTGGACCGCCAGACCAAGATCGTGCCTGACGATCCGACGGCTGAGATGGTGGAATCAGTGAAGGGGGAGATTGAGTTGAGGCAGGTGCGGTTCGCATACCCTACCCGCCCAAACGCCGTCCTGTTCGAAGATTTCAGCCTCAAGGTCCCGGCTGGGAAGACTGTAGCTCTGGTTGGGCCGTCTGGCAGCGGCAAGAGTTCCATCATCTCCCTTATAGAGCGATTCTACGACCCGCTTGCAGGCGTGGTGCTAGTGGATGGCAAGGATGTGAAGAGCCTGCATCTGAGGTCGCTGCGGTCTTTCGTTGGGCTTGTGAGCCAGGAGCCTGCGCTGTTTGCGGTATCGATCCGGGAGAACATTCTGTATGGGCGGGAGGGGGCAACTGAGGCGGAGATTGTGGAGGCAGCCAAGGCTGCAAACGCACACACGTTCATCAGCAGCCTACCCCGTGGATATGACACTGAGGTGAGGGCAGGCCCACTGGTTTTTGGTTGGGTAGACCGGAAGCAGAGAGGGGCAGGGGGGAGGGAACAATGTGCTGGGGGAGAGGACGAAGGGTTTGGTCAGGTCAGGTGTATGTAGGGTGTGTGACAACTCACTTCTGTCATCTGGTTCGCCCCTTGGTGTGGACCACTCCATGTATTCCTGTCCCAGTGATTTTTTGCTCTTGCTTGCTTGCCTCCCCTGCCGTTGTCTGCTCGTTCGCCCCTGTTCAACCCTCCCGTGCTGATTCCTTCACCCTTGTTCTCATTTTTCTAAAACCATAGGTGGGAGAGAGGGGTATGCAGCTTTCAGGAGGCCAGAAGCAGCGGATTGCCATTGCCCGAGCTGTGCTCAAGAACCCAGCCATCCTCTTATTGGACGAGGCCACGTCAGCCCTGGATGCTGAGTCAGAGCGTGTGGTGCAAGATGCTCTGGACCGTCTGATGGTGGGCCGGACAACGGTTGTGATTGCCCATCGTCTCAGCACGATCCGCAACGCTGATATTATTGCGGTGGTGCAAAGTGGGAAGATTGTAGAGCAGGGAACGCATGATGTGCTGTTCAGCAACCCCACGTCGGGGTATCATTCGCTTGTGAAGTTGCAACAGTCAAGCAGGGATACAGATTTATGAGGAGGCGGGCTGAGGCGAGAAATCAAAGTGTTGGTCTGGTTTTCCTCGAAAATGCAAAAGTTCATTGCACACCCAGATTGGCAGGTCAAAGTGGCATGCCTAAGTGGAATGCCAACTCTCTACGATACGCTCCTCTACACCAGGCCCCAAGATCAGGGTGAATCACTCATATGGCTGTTACTATAAGGCAGGGTTGTGTTGCGCACCCGATACCCTTTTGTGCAGCATGGCTCAAACTTCAAACGAGAGTGCACAGCACAGCGGAATATGTTACACTTCTGTGAATAGGAATGCAACGGAATGATGAAACTAGGAAGTGTGGAAGTACAAATATGCAACCCTAACAACTGTACTCCCTATTGTGCTACTCACTGCAGCCTACAAGCATAGAATTACATTTGACACACCCCCATAGGCTAAGTGAGGGGCATCAAAGCAAGCAAGGTGAACAAACGGTCACAAGACCAGTCAAAGCAAGAAACAAGGCAAGCTCAGGGTGGATCGCAAGCAAACGGCCACAAGGCCAGTTCAAGAGTTCACTAGGATATAAATAGGAAACACAACAAGCAGAGCAAACAACAAGACTACAGCAACCGAGGGCCTACCTCAACAAGCCCCAACTGCACACAGAACCTGTGGTGATCACCAAGCGCCAAGGCCTTGGTGAAGACGTCTGCAGTGTTGGCCTCTGAGGCCACAAAGTCCAGGCGTGCCTGGCCGCGTCGCTGCAGCTCTCGCAGGAGGAAGTACCTCACGTCAATATGCTTCACTCTGCTCTCCAGTCGAGGCTCTCGACACAGGAGGATCATGGCCTTGTTGTCAGCGTACAAGGTCGGTGCAGAGCGAGGCCGCTCACCAAGGTCGGCGAGCAAGAAGGTCAACCAGCGAAGCTCCTGTGCCGCCATGGCACCAGCGTAGATCTCTGCCTCTGCACTTGAAGTAGCCACAGACGACGACCGTGTAGACCTCCACGACACAGCACCAGCTCCAAGACTGAAGCAGTAACCCTGAGTCGAGCGCTGAGTCTCCACGTCGTCAGCGTAGGAAGAGTCGCAGTGACCAGTCAACCCCACTGGCTGAGTCCCTCCAAGCACAAGCCCCATGCCTGATGTAGTCGCCAGGTACTTCGCCACCCTCACAGCAGCTGTCCAGTGGACAGAGCGGTGTCTCCCAGTCGCAACAAAGCGAGAAAGGATGCTGAGGGGAAAGGCGAGGTCCGGTCGAGTACAAGTCATCAGGTACATGAGGCAGCCCACCAACTCTGCGTAGGGTCCACTGGACTCGAAGGGCTCGTCAGGAAAGGGGCCCGTGAGTCTGTGGTCAACAGCAAGAGGAGTGGGCTGTGTGGTGGAGAACTGGAAGTCGAACCGCCGAAGGACCTGCTGCACCATGTGTGACTGCGTCAGTGTGATGGTGCGAGCGGCTCTGTCCCGGGTGATCTGCAGGCCAAGGTAGCGTTGCAGCTCACCCAGGTCAGTGCACTTGTGTCTCTTCTGCAGTTCGGACTTCACCTGAGCCAGGGCTGCCCTGTCAGCTGTAGCAAACACCAAGTCGTCGACGTAGACAAGGATAAAGAAGGGAGTAGAACCCGCTCGAACAAACAGCGACGGGTCGGCGGAGGACGGGCTAAACCCAAGGTCACGAAGCGTGGAGCGAAGAGTGTCGTGCCACTCACGGGGCGACTGGCGGAGACCGTAGACTGGTCGCCTCAGGCTCCACTGGGTCCCAGGTGGGAAGGTGTCAGTGAAGCCAGGAGGACGGCGCAGCCAGATCTCCTCGTGCAGTCGGCCCTGGAGGAACGCAGTGGAGAAGTCGAGGGAGTGCAGCTCGTAGTCTCGCTGCGCTGCTATGTGGAGTAACACCCGAAGAGTAGTCATCTTCGGGGTCGGGGCGAAGGTCTGGAAGAAGTCAACTCCCTCACGCTGACTGAAGCCCCTAGCCACGTAGCGCGCCTTGAACACCGGCGGTGCTCCAGGCGGCCGCTTCACCTTGAAGAGCCACATGCCATCGACTACGTTCGCCCTGGGAGGGGGAACTGCGTCGACGTAGGTGCCTGTGGATCTCCAAGACGCCAACTCTGAGTCCATAGCCGCTTTCCACTGAGAGGCCCACGCCCCTGACACTGCCTCGCGGTAAGTGCGAGGAGTCGGTATGTCAAGGGCGTCGGGGTCTCCCTCAGGGGAGAGCAGCATGGCACACACAGAGGGAGAAGCGGCTGCCCAGTACTCCAGCTCAGACTCTCTGTCCTCTAGGACGTCACAGCCAAGGGCAAACCCACCCCCGACGGACAGAGGATGGTAGGGAGGAGCTGGCACCACCCGGGTGGCGTAGTCAAGGCGGCTGGCAGCAGCAAACTCAGCGACAGCGGCAGTAAGAGCAGAGGCAGACGACGGAGGGAAACGAGAGTCAGTGACAAGAGTGGCGAGGACACGTGCGGCAACAGGACGAACAGTGCGGTAGTAGTCAGTTATAGGAGTGGGGAGGGCTGGGAGAGAGGACGGAGGAGGAGACGGGAGAACGGACACAGGAGAAGGAGAACGACGACGGGACGAACAAAGGAGGGCAGTGTGGAGGTCAGTAACAGGGGACGAGTGACGAGCACGCGGAGGACAACGAGTGATCAAGTCGTGACGGACAGAGTGAGGAGGAGACCGAGGAGGAGGAGAAAACCAGACCGCCGGACGGTCGTCAGGAGGAGGCAACGGAGGAACAAACACAGGAGGAGACTGGGAGCGGACAGGAGGAGAGGAGGAAAGGCCAAGGGCCCGCAGGCCACTCACAGGTGGGAACAACTGCCGCTCCAGAGGAAGCTGCGGCTGCTGCTGCTGCAGCGGCGGCTGCGGCTGCTGCTGCTGCGGCTGCGGCTGCGGCTGCTCCTGCTGCGGCTGCGGCTGCTGCTGCTGCTGCTGCTGCTGCTGCTGCTGCTGCTGCTGCTGCTGCTGCCGCTGCTGCTCCAGAAGGTCTAGCACCCGCAACTCCTGCCGCTCCCTCTCCAACCACTCCTGCTCCTCACGCTCACGCCGACGGGCAGCCTGGAGACGCGTGTCGTGGCGGTGGGGAGGCGGAGTGGACTCCGCAGAACCAGGGTCTCCAGCGTCAGTCTCCTCAGACTCAGCACCCCCAGAACCAGCACCTCCAGTGTCAGGACCTCCAACTCCAGCACCCCCAGAACTAGCACCGCCAGTGCCAGCACCGCCAACTCCAGCACCCCCAGAACTAGTACCTCCAGTGCCAGCACCTCCAGCTCCAGCACCCCCAAAGCCAGCGCCACCTGCGCCAGCACCTCCAGCTCCAGCACCCCGCGACCGAGCACCCCCAGACCGAGCACCGCCAGCGGCTGCACCTCCAGCTCCAACACCAACCGAGTCCACAGTAACCTGTCGCGGAAGTGCCGAAGGCTGCTGAGGGGACTGCGAGGAGGACTGCGGGGAGGGAGACGCTACCTGACGCGCGACCGAGGGTAGAGGGGTAGCGTGGGACACACCAGACGGGGCAGGACCAGGGGGGGGCGGGGGTACCGGAGGAGCAGGAGCAGGAGGAGGAGAGGGTGCTAGGAACAGGGGGGGATGGGGTACCGGGAGACCTCGACAGGGGTACCGGGAGTAGTAGGACACAAACTCGTCAAACCGGACGTCACGGGAGTCTAGGAACTGGTGGAGGGGCGGGTGGTAAAAGGACCAGTCGCCAGAGTCCACTGGGAAACCAAGGAAGACACAGGGGACGGCGCGTGCCGAGAGCTTGTCCGCGGAGGTGTCGCGAACAAGTGCAAGGCAGCCCTAGACTCGAAAGGCCGACCCAACACCAGGGGAACCAGTCCAAAGACTGGTCGGTGAAGCCTCGGGCCGCGAGACACGCGGCTGGAGGTTCAGCTGGTGTGCGGCGTAGCGAACCGCGTGAGGCCACAGAAAATGGGGCGCACGGGCATGGATCATGGACGTGCGGGCGATGTCCATGACCAAGCCTATGCGGCGCTCAGCAACCCCATTCTGCTGTGGGGACTCTGGCAGCGTCCAGGACTGGGTGATGCCCTGTTCGCCGCAGAATCCGCCGAGAATGCCGGAGCGAAACTCGCCCCCACGGTCGGAGTGAAGACAACTGACTCGACGACCACGAGTGCCCTCAGTGGCTAGAAGCCACCTGATCAGCGTAGCAGTCACCTCGGACTTCTTCGCAAGAGGGAACACTGTGGTGTACCTGGAGTAGTCGTCGACGACCACCAGAAAGTAACGCTCTCTCCCAGACCCCTGCGTCGGGGCAGGGCCCCAGACGTCCAAGTGGAGAGTCTCGAAGGGAGCGGTGGCCGGACGAAGGGAGGAGGAGTGGGGAGTGGCGCGTAAGCAACCGGCGACGCACGGAGAGCAAGGAGGGGCAAGCGAGGGAGGGAGCGACGGGAAGGTGCGTGGGAGACCTGTGACAAGTCCCTGACTGAGCATGCCACGAAGGCGAGGGATCGACGGGTGGCCAAGGCGGTGGTGCCACAGGACGGTGCGGTGGGCGAGAGAGCGACAGGAGCAAGACGCAGCGACTGGACTGGACACAGTGACCACCTGGCTAGACACAGCAACTGGACTGGGGACCTGGGCCGGAGGGGACGCAACGACCTGAGGGGAGGACGCGACCGGGGAGCGCTCGGTGTGGAGAACGTAGAGACCGGAGCGGGGCTCCCTGGTGAAAGTGGCCAGAACAGCACCTGTGGTAGCGTCAGTACAGACTGCAGTCCGCCCACCCCCCACGAAGGTAACCGTTATCCCCCTGTCCTGGAGGTATCCAACACCCACCAAGTTCCGAGTGAACGAGGGGATGTGGAGGCCGCGCAGGACACCAGAGGGGACCACAGGGCACGGGAGGGTGGTGGAGCTACGCGCAACGGCTGGTCCAGAGGTAGGATCAGCCAGAGCCACCGACACAGGGGTGAGGAGTGGCGTAAGGGTCGTGTGGTCACGGAAGAAGCACTGAGACGCGCCCGAGTCCAGCGTGAACGACAGAGAGGCCTCAGCCGG